GGGCAGAGAGGAACCTCCTGAAGTTCCACAAAGGCAAGTGCAGGGTCCTGCACCTAGGCAGGAATAACCCCATGCACCAGGACAGGCTGGGGGCTGACCTGCTGGAAAAAAAACCCTGCAGAGAAGGACCTGAGAGTCCTGGTGGACAACAAGTTAAGCATGAGCCAGCAATGGGCCCTTGTGGCCAAGAAGGCCAATGGGCTCCTGGGGTGCATGAGGCAGAGTGTTGCCAGCAGGTCAAGGGAGGTGATCCTGCCCCTCTCCTCAGCCCTGGGGAGGCCTCACCTGCAGTACTGTGTCCAGTTCTGGGCTCCCCAGTCCAAGAGAGACATGGCACTACTGGAGAGAGTCCAGCGGAGGGCTACCAAGATGATGAGGGGACTGGAGCATGTCTCCTCTGAAGAAAGGCTGCGAGAGCTGGGCCTGTTCAGTCCGGAGAAGAGAAGACTGAGAGGTGATCTGATCAACGTGTATAAGTATCTGAAGGGGGAGTGTCAAGAGGATGAGGACAGTCTCTTCTCCGTGGTGCCCAGCAACAGGACAAGAGGCAACGGGCACAAACTGAAACACGGGACGTTCCATCTAAATATGAGAAAAAACTTCTTTCCTGTGAGGGTGACAGAGCACTGGAACAGGTTGCCCAGAGAGGCTGTGGAGTCTCCTTCTCTGGAAATATTCAAAACCCGCCTGGATGTGATCCTGGGCAATCTGCTCTAGAGGACCCTGCCTGTGCAGGGAGGTTGGACTAGATGATCTCCAGAGGTCCCTTCCAACCTAAATGATTCTGTGATGCTGTGATTCTGTGAATGTACCCTCTACTGCAAATTAGCAGCAGATGTGCTTACTAAATTTGATTACATGCGTTCAAACCTTCTGAAGGTCACAAGACTGCTGAAGGTCACAAACGTCTCTGAGGCATCACTGGACTTGGAAAGGCCTGTGTGCCTCACAGGCTATGAAGTACAAGAAGGAAGAAGCCCAGTTTTACCCTTCTGCTACAGAAGTAATTTGCAGAATTATCAGTTAGGGTAATCATGGTTTCCTTGTAAATTCAGCATGTGATGTGGACTGAAAATGAAGCTCTTCTAACAACCTCCATTACAAAATAAATTGCAGTGGAACAAAGTTGCCTGTGCAGCTTTGCCTCAATGCACCACAAATGCATACTCAAGGACTCTCATGGAGTTCATTATTTTTGGTCTCATGTTAGCTGCATTTTATATCATGGGATTGGAAAGGCTGAGGAAAATCAAAATCTAGAAGAATATGAAAGCTCTATCAAATTTTCACATACCACTCCATTAACAGAAAGTAGCTGGTCTCCCCGTTTGAGCCCTCCATGCCTTTCTGCCACTCCTCCAGGAATGATGCGAGAAATATAAATAGGGGAATTTTGTTCTTTTCCTCCCATCACGTTAAAGCCCAGGCCTTCATCAGTCTTTGGCAGCTCCACCACTCGCGGGTGTGAATGGCCTTCACTTGCAGCAAAAGCAGCAACTGTTGCCTGGAAGAAAAGAGAGTGATATGGCTATCTAGTGAGAACACTGACGTGCTCTGTTGTTTGTTTTGCAGGAAGAACTCATCATTATGAAAATATCTCATTACGTTATTCCTCTTTTTTCCTTACTTATCTGAAAGCACTTTACAAAACTTAAGTAAGTTCCATGCCAATGCTTTTGAAATAAGGGGATAGGCAGAGGAATAGAGAGTTTAAGTGACTTGTCAAAGATAACGCAGAAAGTTAGCAGCAGAGCCAGGAGTAGACACCCAGAAGCCTGCCTGAGTGGTGGTGCACACTTGTAATCTCCCTAGCGCGTTTCTTCTTTGCCTCTTCTTTTCACAGGAAAAAGGTTCATTAGAGTTGGATAAGATGATGTAAGCCACAATGTGTTCCTAGTTGAAATAAAGTGAATAAACTGAACTGATAACTCTCTGCTCTGCTCTCAGAGGTATGGGACTGGTTATTTTATTCCTCGGGGACATAAAGAATCCTGCAAGGATATTCTCATTTTAAAAAGTTTAATTTACAATTGTGAAATCTCGCAAACTATATGACTCCTGGAACAGGAATATGAGGTTTTACAATATAATTGGATCAAAACTTTTACTGCAAAATTAAATCTTGAGACAATGGATTTATAAATCAATTAAAAAAATCCTAGATTGTTATTCTTACTGTGGAAAAAATAAAAGCATTATACAGTAACAAACTGTAAAGCTTGCATCCGGGAAAATATTACATCTTCTACTTCATTTTTCACCCTAAGTGTTTTGTGACTTTAATTATAAATCTCAGTATGATTAAATAAACATTAGAAAAATCTTTTATCCTTTTCAACATGTGTTTGCAGTCCAAACTGCTAGAACAATTCTGCATTATACTAATACTTTTGAGCATTTTAATAACACTTATGCTTATTAGAAGCTAGTGGATGACGTGGTACAATGGATTATTCTCACTTAGGTTTTCGCACATGCAGACCTCATCATCATGCATACATTTTATGTCAGACATGAATGCACTAGGAGAATGCAATGCAGACAGCCCAGAAATAACCAGGAAATATTGCGATATTGAAACACTGCTTTGTAACCCTGCTGTTCTATATGAATAAGAAATGAGAATGGCAAACACTAACTGGATTTCTCCCCATTTACTACACAACATAGCAATCATTTCTGTGTTTACCTGCAGCGTAGGCAAATCAGGATCTAAAACACACATTTCTCTATACAGTAGCATAGACCTTACAAATTTACATTGTTCATTTGAACTCTCTATCAGAAGGAGGTTAAAATCAGGAAATAGCCCACAGAAAGGAACATACTATTTAGGAAGAAAATATACAATTTATTGTACAATATGCTATTTGCTGTCTACCGTACGGCTTGCTGCTTTAGAATACTGTAGGAATCTTTTTAGAACATACTCCAAGCCTTCATCTTCTGTTACAAGTTTAAATAAAAATCTCTAATGCAAATACGTAATGGCATGATCTTAGTTCCATTAACATTTCTGGGAGTTTTGTCACTAACTTCACAGGAGCAGGACCATAAAGAACTATCTCTAAAACAGCTGTTTGGCTTTTGCAGGTTTACCTGCTTTCCATGGTACCTGCTTTAGCACCCAGAAGACAGTCTTGAGTGCAAAATGATAATGGGAAAAATAAAGCCATGGCAGACTTCCCTGTTTGGAATTATCATTGTGCCTATTATGAAAATACGGATCATATCAAAACACTGGTTAAATAGAACATATTCTTTCTTAGTTGTGTGAATTCCCTTAGAAAATTATAATTTTAGTAGTAGTTGTAATGTAGCCATCACGGTCTAAGGATATGAGAAAGACACGTTCACACGGCTAGAGGGACAATATATTTTATCAAAGCAGGTAATGCTTCAGAAAAAGTGGGCTTGCATTTGGCTGTGCAGTCTCTTGATCAGGCCATTTTTATCACTGTACATCCTTACTACCTTGATACCTACGGTTCCCATTACCTAAAGAGGAATTTTGACTGTTATAGTTTCTGTCTCTCAAATCATTATGCCCTCCTGGATAAGCTGTATGGGAAAACAGTCCATTAAAATACTTATTGTTACAGGCAGACTTTGCTTTCACAAACCAACTTTTCAAAAACCATCAAATTCCATAAAATCATTCTCTTTTCTTAAGCTACAGAAGCAGCATAAAGGTTTAAATTTTCCATTATGATTGTTACCTGGGAAGTAGCACTGGTTCTAGACTCTGGGCTGCCACTGATGTCTAAATTTTCTTACAGTGTACACACGAATACCTGAAACACACACGCGCACAGTCAATTACTAGGTCACTTTGGTAACACATATTTCAACAGTTGCACGCATCCTACCTTTGCAGTGGCCCTGGCTCGGAATTCGGGGCAGCCATTAACAGTTATGGTTTCATGCATATATTGATACACCTAAAATATTTATGAAAATAAAGTGAAATTAATTATAGAAGCAAAACAAGGACTTTATTTTAACCCAGACAGAACAGTCTCTTTCCCTCATAACACTATGCTTCATTAATGCTGCATTCATACAGTCAGACAGTTGAGTGTCTGTTAACCTCGTGCATACTTAGAAACACCAGTTTTGTTTCACATCAATCCTTGTTTCTCATGCTACTTTGCAATTCTAACTGCAAACCTTCCAACACTGTTCCCTTCCCATCTCTAGCACACCACTTTCCAAAACCAGACAGTTAGAGCCTACATTATCAATAGCTGGTGTTTCCCTGCAACTGATCTGAGTGGTATCTTAGCCACTACTGATGGCTTCTTTGTTCTCTGAACTTTCCTGTGAACTGGAGATTCAGCAGGCTGATGTTAGAATAAAAAAACAACTTGCTCAACAGATGCTGAAGAATGGAAGTGAAAATTAAATTTTGGAGAAAGGTCAGAGTACCATTTTCCATCAATCATAGATAGGAATGGAGAATAACTGCTGGCAGTTTGCTGTGTTAAAAGTGGACAATGGATAAGGCAACCCTTTAGAAAGGAGTTGCACATTCACATAAATGGCATAAAATCACCATTGTCAATATATACAACTTTCTGCTTGTTCTTTTTTCTGGTTTACATTCTTGCTCGGCTTTCTCTGGTGCTTAACTCTCCCTTTTAAACACCTTCATTAGGCAAAAAGGAAAAGGATTTCTCTCTCACTACTTTTGATCTCTAGATTTGTCTAACTCTGTAATGAAAAATGTGAAAGACGCCTTCATACTAGCCAGTAAAAATGCTTATATACAATATATGGGCAAATTTTTAAAAGAAAAAGGTGGAGGAATGGAAACATGCAAACAAAACCTTTTATTTAATCTTCTTCTAAAAATATCAAACCTAAAAATGTCTTCCTATATGCAACTGATTTACCATGGTCACTTTCTTGACCTGCTTCGTCAGGGATTTTACCTTTTCACGTGCTTTACGTCTCAGGTTGAATTCCTCAGAGAGAACCTTTGTTGGTGAAGTATGTTAGCTTTGATAGTAATCTGTTTCTTGGGGTCCTCGAGGAGGGCAGATTCAATTATACCTCCCAAAACGTATTCACCTCTCACTTATTTGGAGATAGTTTAACAGGAGTGTCAAAACTTCCCTCTTCAACGATGTAAATGCTACTTCAGCAGACAAGGTGTCAGCTCCTGTACTTGAGTGACCTATAAACAACAGCTTGTCTCGCTGATAGGTAAAACTCTCCCATCCCTCTGTCCTGATGACTTATTATGCAGTACTAAGTGTCATAATCATGTATCTCTCCCCACTGAGCCTGATATTATAAAACTTATACATTGATGAACATATCGCTACAAACACCTAAATGGGATTATGACATGCAGCTCATTTCTGATCTCAAAATAAAATAGACATAATGGTAACCCAACACTCCGAGTAGTAAAATGTTTAGGATGACTGATCTCCAACTTTTTGGGGGGGATATTATACAAAAGGGAAAGGCAAAAGAGAAAAGGAGATAACAATAAATATATTACAGTCTTAAAGATCTAAAATATGCTAAGCAGTTTCAAAGCACAGCAAAAGATTATTTGACTTGAATATCCCACACATAAGCCCTTCAAAGGCTTAATTCAGAAAAATGATGGCTAATGAGGAAAACTGAGACAAGGGGAGCAGGTTCAAAAATTTCATGCTTTCTATGTTTGAAGTGAAATCTTGCTTCCACTGGTAAGACTCACTTTGACTTCAGTAGAGGCTAGCATTTTGCTCTTAATTTTAAAAATATAGAAAAAGACTGATATTTTATAGCCTCCAAAGGGTCTCTGTTTTGTTCTATCTTTGTTCCAGATTATGCCATCCTAAAAATGGGATGAGTCTACGTACTCAGCATTATCTTGTAGAGATCAGTTCAGTCTTCCATAGATCAGTTCCACGCTTATTCTTAAGTACTATATTGTAGGAGCAAAGACTTTTCGTTATTTAAGAACAACTACTGTGTGGTTGCAGTCATCAGTCACTAAATACTTGTTGCTTCAAAACTTGTAACGTTTTGAAGCACTCACTGATAATGCTGTAATTTCTTGAAAATAGACCGCATTTCAGATACAGTAACAGTTATTGAGAATTTTTTTAAGATATTCATTCTTAAGGTAAATACCACAAAAAGGAGCTGATAATCATACATTCAAGTGATTATTAGGTAGGCCTGATGTCCTGTAACTCCGTATTGGCTGTCAATACATATCAGTATGTATCCGGCAGCCTTCATAATATCCAAGATGTTATCCTGGTAGCGAATTCTTATATTGGAGAAAGAGCGGGTGATCCTTAGCGGGTGATTAAACTAACAGATGCTAAAAAAAGAATCAACCAACTCAAAAACATCTGCAAAGTTGATCAATGATGTCACATAATCCTTTTGATCATTTGTAAATTCTCAATGATAATGGGATTAAAATGGTGTTCTGCAAACAGTTACCAGTGACAATAATATCTATTATAGTACAGTTCCTAAGAAAAGAAATCTTGCATGTCAAATTTCTCTCTGTAAGCAACAACTGCGATCAGTCCTGAAAACTTGCTTGAGGCAGCAGCAAATCCAATTTTCCTATTTGATGGTTACATAATGCTTAATATAATTTTGACTAAGGAGGAAAAAGTATAAACCTAAATGACTTTCTTATTACGTTTAACAAGACGGAGGTTAACTGTACCTGTTCCAAAAAGCCCCTTTAACTCTTTGTAGGGTTCAGATTGCTCATTCTTACAATACACAAAAAGCACAGTGTGTAAATAACTGCTGTGTGCCTGTAGCCACACTACCCCCTTTATCCGCAGCATTCTCACTACCACCTTAGATATGTTTGGTGCACAAAGAATCCATTCTGCTGCCTCTTTTATGAATACAAAACAGATAAACTGAAAATGTTCTTTGTTCTCAAACTAAGCAAGGTGGCATTCAAATCCTCCCAGAGTGGAATACCGCTTTTTGTTCAGTCCATAGTACATGACAAGGACTTGGTAAATGATTTTATAAGATCTTTTCTTCCAATGTCTACTATCACCAGTACCTCTCCAGATTACAGTTTTAACATACTGCAATCCTCCTGAATCTAACAATGTCACCTTAAAGCGTCCTGTAAGATCAACGGTAGATTTGCTGATTTGGACAAAATATCACTCAATACAGACCAAATAAAGGTGCAGAGTTTAGTTATAAGTTTCTGAAAAACTCCTTTAGGATATTTACTAAGAGGTCTTTGAAAACAGTGTCCTTTGTTGACCATGAGAGATGAATCATTTTGAATGACATCCTGGATTATATCAGATTCACTGGAGTGTACCATGACTTGGTTTGTCCTTTCAGTGTGAGAAAAGCAGAGTACAAATGCTTCCATTTTAATTTTCCTTCAACAGAAATAATGCAAATGTTTAGATAAACAAGGGGTCAAAGGTTCAATTTAACTCTAAAAATATTTATCTATGAATATTAAGAAAAATACCACAGCTACCCTGCCTTTCCTACTTTCTTTCCCCCCTTTATTTCTACGTAATATTGCAGGAGCATAACCAGGAGGCTTTCACTGACATCACAGAGAAAAATAAAGTATAACTGAGCACTATGAATGAGCTGAAGAAAGAAGAGTAATGTAAGTGTTACTATTTTGAAAAATGCGCTGCATACCTAATTTTGCATGTGCAGCTGTTTCTTTCTAAAGTGCCTAAAAGTCTACATGGGTGTTTAATAAAATTTTTTGCTGCCAGACTCCAAACACAGTCTGTAGATCCAGTGCCTGGGAAAACCAGTTTCCACAATTCGTTAACAGAGGTGGAGTTATAGGTGAAACATCAACGTTTCAAAATGCAAAGCAGCAGCTGTAAGGCAAAAGGTGATGCTTCAAATAATTTTTCCTCACAGTGATTTCTACCAAGACTGTCAACTTCCGTAGGCTGAACGCTCATAAAGGAAAAGCATGCTGCATATAGGTCTTTGTTCTTACAGCTTGGATTTGTGCTCTGGAGCTAGAAACACTCGTCTTTGTTCCCACTTCCAAGTGGGGCAGAGAATGCAAACTCTTATCAAGAAATACTCACAAGAGCATGAATACAGATCTCAGACTTTTGTACCTTTTGGAGGTAGTACCCCCAGATATAATCTAAAGTTGTTCTCCCACAGCACTCACACAAAATATGAAAAGAGTAAGGGAGGAAAATCACAAGTAGAAAATTTGATCTTGGGAGGGAATCCTCCTTGTACCACAGACGGTCTTGCTGGCACACAGCGCTGTATGTTTTATTACTTCTCCCCGCAAGAGCTCTAGTGAGTCGGATGCAGCAGGTGTTAGTGTTATGATGATGGTCCTCAGCCCCGCACATTAAGCTGGAAGACCCAGGCACCAGTCTAGCATTACTGTAGGACAGGAATGGGGGCTGGGACAGTTACTTTAGGAGCTAGCTTCTTAACAGAAACTACTCCACGTGGAGTCATAACAAAGCAGCAGGTAGTGGTCTGGCCTATTTAAGTCACTGGGAAGCTTTAGGAGGAGATCAAAACAGTGCACTCAGCAGCCTGTTTTACAAAGGTGGATACAAGAAGCGGTCTGTAAAAACCGGAATAACGCAGCATATTTTCTGTTGAACCTTAGAAGTTACAATGTAATTAAAAGGATTCTTTTCCATTAACTCCTTTAAGAGGTACTACTCAGTGCTTCTTCCCTGATAAAATACTATGCAATTCTAAGTGCAATTCTAACTACAATAACGATGCTCAATGGATTTTAGGACAATGAGGTCTAAACATCAGGAGGGAAGAGACGTGAGGCAGAAACCATTTTGTAGCAATGAGTAAGTATTCCAATAAAATTAGGAGGCAAACTGAGGACACAGTATATTGAAATTTAGACATGGAAAGGTAGCAGGCCCGGATAAACTTTGCTGAGATTTATAAGTGATGAAGTAACCTG